CGGTTAACCCGAGCTTGACTGAATAATAAATAGATTGAATTCTCTGACCTAAATCCTACTCTAAAAATATCGAGAGGAGTCGAATTGAATCTTGTTTGAGATGAGAGAGGAAAATTATTCTATCAGTACTATGCACCTTAAGGAAGGTGCGTATCCAATAAAATGGCGTCAACTGTAAATTACGGTCCCACTTATTCCATCAGTATTCACGGCCCGGGGCCGGCCCTAAACCCAAATTCTGAAAAAAATCCCGCCATGATAAAATTATTTCGCGTCGGGTTGTTGTTCTATTCAAAGGGTGAAGAAATGTTTTCACTGGTTTTTTCACACTGTCGTTCATAACTCCGTTCACAGCTCCGGTCACAGCTCCACCAAGTCTTGTTGGAATTCTCCATGGACGTTCAGATGTCAGAAGTTGATTTCTCCATGAACGTTGAGATGTCGGAAGTCTCCATGAACGTTGAGATGCCATTATTCAGCCTGAACTTTGAAGGTCAAGATCAAGTGAGTCTTGGTGTTACTGTTGTGTTATTCCGGTGTTACTCTGCTATTACTCTTGTTTCTTGCTTTTTATTTAGTACCGTTTAGGTGGTTTAGGCTTTAGTTTTATCTCCATGTTAACGTAGGTGTTGATGTAGTATTTTGGATGTTGTTTTAAAGTGTTGTTTGGTATTATTATGGTTTTTTTTTTTTCGTTAGTATGGTTTAGGAATTTTTCTTTTTTTGTGTTACTCCTGTGTTATTCTAGTGTTACTGTGGTGTTACTCCATGTAAACGTAGGTGTGGATGTAGTATCTGTTGGGTGTTATTCTACATTACTGTGGTGTTACTCCATGTAAACGTAGGTGTTCATGTAGTATTATTGGATGTTGTTCTACAGTGTGGTTTGGTATTATTATGATTTTTTTTTCGTTGCCATGGTATTAGGCTTCTGGTTTATTATCTGGTTTATTGGTGTTACCCTTGTGTTATTCTAGTGTTACTGTGGTGTTACTGCATATAAACGTAAGTGTTGATGTAGTATCTTTTGGGTGTTGTTTACAGTGTGCTTTGGTATTATTATGATTTTTTTTTCGTTACTATGGTTTTAGGCTTCTGGTTTATTGGTGTTACCCTTTTGTTATTCTGGTGTTACTGTAGTGTTACTGCATGTAAACATAGGTGTTGATGCAATATCTTTTGGGTGTTGTTCTACAATGCTTTGGTATTATTATGGTTTTTTTGTGTTACCCTTGTATTATTCTAGTGTTACTGATATCACCATTGTTTTATGCAATCCTCTGAGGCAACACAAGTTTGCAATGATCCTATTGCAGAGAAGTTTCTTAGCAGCATTATTCACAGTGAGGAAGAAGCATATGAAAGCTATCGTGCCTATGCACATCAGGTGGGATTCACTGTTTGAAAGGACCATACCACCTACTTGCCAAACTCCAAGAAACTCAAGGTTAAATTTTATATTTGTGGAAAAGTTGTCTATAAAAAAGAGCCTAACAACACAGTTAAGTTTAAAAAAGTGGACACGGGGACTGGCTGTAAGGCCATGATACAATTTCATGTTGATTTCGAAGGCAATTGGACATTGACAAAATTCATTAAAAATCATAATCATCCTTTGGCCGAAAGTGGTGATAAGCATCTTTTTTGTTTCAACAGAAGGATAAGTGGGATTAATGCATATATGTTGAGATCCATGACAGGTTCAGACATCAGAGCAACACATGCATACAATTTCATTGCCACGGAGGTTGGTGGTGTAGAGAATTTGGAGTGCACCAAGAGAGATGCATTTAATTTTATACAGAGAGAAAGAAGACAAAGAATTGAACAGGGAGATGTCAATGCTTTAATATAATTGTTCATGGAGATGCAAGCTGGGGACAGCATGTTTGCTTGGGATTTCCAAACAAATGAGTCTGGTAGGTTAACAACCTTATTTTGGAGTG